CAGCCTCCCTCCAGGCTGGGTGGAGCACACAGCCCACACAGGCAGCCATTGTTACAGGACATCCTGCACTAGAGGGGAGTTGTGCTGGGGGCCACCAGGTGTGTGTGTGTGTGGGGGAGCTGGGGAACCAGTACCAGCCAGAGGCCAGGTGTGGGGCTTTACAGCTTGTAGGACAGTCCAGGGGCTGGATCCGTGACTAGAGAGACAGCCACATGCCCAGTTGAGCCAGCCCCTCACAGCATGGAGACAGCCGCTGCCCTGTGGGCAGACGATCACACAATCCCATGCAAGCCACCTGACAGCCTGGAGCCTGGACTCCATGCCACAGAAGGAGCAAGGCCGTTGCCAACGGCTGCCGGTGGTAGTGATCTGCATTGCAGTCTGTGCCCACGGGCCCCGGGTACCAGGCTCCCAGCGAGCAGGCACTCAGCCCCTTTGGCCTCTCGGCGCTCCTGCATTCATGACTAGTGCCATGCCCCCTCTCAGCTCTGCCCAGGGCACTTCTCCATCTGCCAGCTCTGTGTTCGCCTGTCCCCTTAGAAACGCCCTTGGGCACCAGATGTCCTTCCTGGGTACGCCAAGGGGCACTGTGATGGGCCCGCATCTGAGCTACCCTGCTGGGTGCTCCGCTGTGCCAGGGGTGGGGGTGGGCTGGGTGCATTGCAGGGCCCATCTCGTGTGGGTGGCACGGCCCCTGACGCCCCCTTGCTTTCCCCGGGGCTGTAGGTGGTGTTTTCGGAGGAGGCGCTACCCAAAGGGAAGGGCGAATACATTCTCGGTTACTACGGCAACAACTACAGCAGCATCACCGGGGTGACAGAACCCTTCCAGGTGAGCAGCTTCCTGCCAGGCGTGTCCACAGGGGGCAAGACGCAGCGGGGGCACTATGCAGGTGGGGACGGGGAGTGCACCGGGGGGCTGCTGTGCAGGTACAAGGGCATCACGGTGGGGGAGAGGAGATGGGGGTGATGGGGAGGGGAGCTCTGGGGGGTGTGAGCTAAATTATATGGGGGGGTCTTGGGGCCCCATGGCACCAGCTGCTGCCCAGACACCACAGAAGTTGGGCTGGCCTTGCCTTGAGTGGTGCTGTGACATGTCTATCCCCCCTCCCCGCTCCCTGGCAGCTGAACCCTCGGTGTAGGGAGGTGAGGGGCATGAGAGAGGGCGGACTGGGTGTACCGCCTGCCCTGAGACACCCGCGCTCCCCGTGGGGCAGTGCCAGCCTTGTCTCCCCGCTGACTGTCTCTGTGGGCGTGCAGATCTCGCTGCCCACGTCGGAAGAGGGCAGCAGCCAAACGGACAGCTCGAACGCCAGCTCCGAGGAGGAGGACAACAGCACCCTGGTCCTGCTGGCGCCCAAGTCCCGCAGCCCCAGCCCTGGCAAGATGAAGAACCACCGGAGCCGCAGCCCCAGTCTCCCCAAGTTCCAGGGGCTCATCCTGAGGCCGACGAGCCGCGAACGGGGGCCCAGCCGCAGCCCGTCCCCGCAGAGCCGACGCCCCGTGAAGGGCGAGATCCCCAGCATCCAGCTGCCAAAGGAGGAGCCGCCCTGGCCCAATGCCCAGAGCAAGGAGCCAGCGCGGGCTGCCGAGAGCCGGGAGAGCAGCCGTGCCCCCGGCTACAGGACTGCGGGGGAGCACTGCGGCACCTGGTGCCTCTCTGACGACAACCCCCTGGCCAGGGCCAACCCCCGGAACCTCGGCCTGCTGCCCGCGCTCCGCCTGGAGACTGTCGACCAGGCCATGGGCCCAAGGCGGGCGAGCGCAGACCAGGGCTACCCTGCCAGGAGGATGAGCCCCACCAGCCCCACCGCCGGGGCTGCCAACCTGTTCAGCACCTCCCCCAAAGAGCGGAGCGGTTCCAGGGACAGCCAGGAGCCCCCACCAGCTGCGGCCGCCACTGGAGCCACTCAGAGCCGAGCAGCTGGCATCACGCCGTGACTGCTGGGCCTGGCCTCTGTGCGCCCATGTGCAACGATCCCCGTTTTGAGCTTGCCGTGTGCTTCCTCGTGTGCTGCCTCTCCTGCCCGCACTGTGATCCGTCCCTGCTGGTGTGATGTAGGCAACAGCCGTTAGCGAGCCACACGCCCTGCTCAGGGCTGCCCGGGCATCGGCCACCGCACGGTCGCTCCGCTCCCCACGGCTGCTCACCCCAGCCATCCGCCCACCGGGCCCGGTAGTGTGAGTGCAGTGACGCCCCGGCAGGGCCGCAGTGCCCATTCCTCCGTGTTAGCTGTTCCAGCCGTGAAACCTTCCGCCCCAGGCTATGTGCCTGGGCCCCAGCTCCGATTCCATCAGCTCGGAGACGGAGCCTTGGGCAGCGCTCCCCGGACAGCCTGGAGCACGGACTCCGTAGGGCATGAGCAGGGCCAGGGAGTCGGGACACTGGGTATGGCAGGGCCCCCGGCAGCAGTCAGTGGCGATGCCAGGGACTGTGGGCAGGGCTGGCAGCCTGAGGCTACCAGGATGTGACGGGGGGGAGCTGGCTGTGAGCGGCTGGCAGACCAAGCTGCAGCCCTAGTCCTCCTCTGTGCGTGGTGAACCCAGACGGAGCAGCGCTTTCCTTTGCCGCACGGCTGCGCCGAGCCCGCTGCCCTCACCCACGCGGAGCAGGCTGGGGAAGAGGCAAGACGGTGGGGCTGGCCCCATGGCCCGGATGACAACGTGGACAGGGAGGGGGGTGCTGAGGAGCCTACGGGGAGCCCAGCTGGAGTCTCCAAGGGGGAGGGTGCCAGGCGCCCAGCGGGGCAGGAGGGCTGAGCGCCGGCCCTGGCTCTGCGGCTGCATGGGGAGCATGTCAGGTCACTCGGGGCACTAGTGCTGACCCACACGGCTGGGGCAGGAGCTGGGCCGGCACAGAAATGGGGGCACAGGGACAGTGTCAGGGGAGACGAGAGCAGCGGGGGACAGGACAGATCCAGGCAGCACAAGTGTGGGGGGGGTCACTGACCCACAGCCTGGCCTGGTCCTGTAGCACAAGTGCCCACGTGGGAGGGAACAACCCAAAGCTGCCAGGAAGGGTGTGGGCCTGGCTGCCCTGGGGCCCACGGCAGGTCCTACCACATTGCAGCTGATGGAATAAATGACCCACCCCCAGGTGCCCACCCTGTGTTTTGATTTGCTGAACTGGTATCTGCAGGAGGAGGTGGGGCCGGGATGGCAGGGTTACCACGGGGCCTGGGGCTGGCCTGTGGGGCCGGCCTGTGGGGCCTGCAGCCCCCCTTGGCTCTCACGGGGAAGGCCTGGGCTGGCTCAGCATTTGGATGGCAGTGCTCAGTAGTGGGCACTCCCCTGGCACTCCGTGCCAGCCCATGCCCCAGCCCAGCCCTAAGGGGGCCTGTGAACGCGGGGTGCTAGTCACAGGTGGTCCCTGAAGGCCCAGCCTTCCTTTGCAGCACCAGGGAGCTAGTCGGGGGGGAGGGGAAGGGGGGGTCACTCTATTGTGCCTCGCCCGCTTGCGCTGCCTGGCTCTGTACTGGGAGCGCAGGGGCAGGGGCCATGGCCCCTCCGTGTGCAGCTCACAGCATGTGGGGGGGGACCCTGAGCGCCCCCCACTCTCAGCACAGGAGCTGGAGCAGCAGAGCAGTGGTGGGAGGTGCCCCTGGCGAGGGGTGGGGGCCCTGACTCCCCACAACGTAGCAGACGAGGGTGTACCAAGCCAGTTGCTGCCCCGCTGCTGATGCTTCCCTGAACTGAGCTCCCCTGCCCCACACTGCCCTCGGGGGCAGGGGGGGCTGGCAGCTTGAAGTCACTGCTGTTCCCTCCCTCCCCTGGGGAAGTTGGGGCCCTAGGTCCTGTCCCATCACCCCCATGTGAAAAATTCCCCCCCCCCAGCCATCTGCACACCCTGGCTCCCCTTGGCCTCCCCCCCCCCAGGCGTGTGCACACCCTGGCTCCCTTGCTCTGCCTTTGCTGTGGATAAAATTAGCAACGTTCCCCCTGGCCCCCACCCCCTGTGCAGCATGGGCGGCTGGCTGGCCTGCCCTTCCCATGGACCTGGGGAGGAAGAGGCCACAGTCCCTTGCAGGCAGCCCTCCCCCCTCCTCTTCTGCTAGTGGCCTGGGTACTGCTGGGGGGGAGAGGGCACAGAATGACGGGGGAGGCATAAGAGTCTGATGGGACAGAGAAGTAGCCCCCCCCCTCCAGTCCCCACAGGGCAGCAGGAGCTGGGGGCTGCTCAACCCACCCCGGGCCCAGGCCCAGGCCCCAGCCCTGCCCAGGACGCAGATGGCGTGAAGGAAACACTTTATTGCTGCATTATTTACAGAGCAATGGCCCCTGGCCCTGGCCCACAGCTCCATGCCTGCTTCAGGCGCAGCCGGAACGGCCCCCTTTGCCCCATCCGCGGCCCCCAGAGGGGCAGTGCTGGGGGGAGGGCTGCAGCATTAGGGGGAAAAGATGTAAAGAAATAGGCTCTGTAGAAAAGTTGTCCCTACAGCTGTCGTGGGCCAGCTCTGCCCCAGGGCTTGGGGGGGGGGGGGGGGAGCTCTGCCCCCAACCCTGGTAGTAACAGGCTCACAAAGCAAGGCTGGGAACAGCACCCCAGAGTCTTGACTCACCCCCCTTCTCCCCCCAGCCTAGAGGAGGTACAGCTGAGCCCTCCTGCCCCGCTCGGGTGGGGGCACTGCTAGTGGCAGCGGCCCCTCCCCCAGGCATGGGATTCCTCACAGGGTGGGGCTGGTTTCCCCTGTCTCAGCCCCCCGGGCTGCAGTCCCGAAGAGGGGCCACTGCTGCCCCCCATGGCAGAGCTTCAGGAAGTGGCCTCCTGGCCTGGAGCTTCTCCCCTAGGGCCCCGTGTTCAAGGGACCCACCTGGGGCCCAGCCCTGGGGGGTGCCCCCTGGGGCAGAACAGAGCCCCTCCCCCAGGCAGGGTGCTCCCCGGGGGGGAATGTGGAGGGGAGGCAGCGCCTTAGCTTGGCCCCACACATGCACCCCAGCTTCTGCCCGGGCCAGGGCCCTGCCCAGCCCACCCTCAGGAGTGTGTGGCAGGGGGCAGCGGCACCAGCAGGTGAAGGAGAGGGAGGGGACAACCAAGCCCCTGTCCCAGACCAGGCTGGGAGGGTCCTGTCTCCCTGCAGTGCCCATGCTGGAGGCTACAGGCTGCCCAGCGGCACAGTCAGTCTCCCAGCCCTGCCGGAGGTGAGCAGGGGCAGGGCTGGCCACAGTGTCAGCGCCACGTTCCCCCTGCAGACAGGCTGGCTCCATGGTCCCACGTCCAGGCTGTGCCCTGGCCTCAGTGGGGTGCTGGGTGATGGTCTGACCTCCGGGCTGCCCTGGCCAGCTGGAGACACTTGTCGTAGAGTCTGGGGGGGCTGCCCTGCGCCTCCCACTCCTGCCGCTTGACCTTGATGGAGGCTGCGGGCCGCGCCTGCCACCGCCCCAGCGTGTTCTTCAGGTGCCGCGCAGGCATCAGGACGGCCCGGCCCAACCCGATGCAGCTGGGAGAGAAGAGGAGCCCGCTTAGCCCAGGGAGCGCCACCCCGCTGGCACCAGGGGAGGCCCCAGCCCTCGGCTTGCTGGGGAATCAACCCCCATGGGGCCAAGGAGGGAGGGTGGGAGGAAGGCAGGGGCCCAGCCCCCTCAGTTCCACCCTGCTCCCGTGGGCCCATGGGGGCACGCTGTGGGGAGCTGACCTGAGCCCCTCTCTTCCAACCTCCCACGGCCTCTGGGCCTGGGCACTCCCTCCAGCCCCCCCTGCTTGGCCAGCCTGCCCCATGTGCCCCACTCGGGCTGTGCCTTCTGCCAGGTCCCACCATGGCACTGCCACTGTTAATGGCTGAGTGCTGCCAGGCAGCTGGGGGGAGGGAACCAGAGCTGAGAGGGGCGGGGGGCTGGGCAGGGCAAGGGGCTCCAGGTGGGGAAGGGCCCCTCAATGCCAGCGGTGCCCCCCCACAAGACAGGAGATCCAGGCTCCAATCCCTCCCGCCCTGTCTATACGCAGGGTGATCCTCTGCTGCCACCCAGTGGGGAGAAAGCCGCATTGCAAACCCAGCCTGGGCTGCCCCCTTCCAGCACCTCCAAGGGGATCTTCAAACAGAGGTAGGGCCCAAGCCAGGCAGCACCCACGTACCAGCATAGGGGACCTCCCCCCACCCCCAGACTGCAGGGGACTCCATACCCCCCTTCTCCCGAGCCCCAGCCCCGGGCACAGAGGCTCTGAGCCTGGCCTGGGCAGCCCTTGGTGCTGATGCTGTACTCACTTGGGCTGCTGCTCCCCGTCGGTGCAGCCCCTGGGCGGCTCCAGCACGAAGCAGGCCGTGGAGATGAAGTCGGACAGCACCTCCTCCTCCACCTCATTGGGACCCTTCGTCCTGCGCAGGAACCGCGCCAGCCTGTAGGGACAGGGCACAGCTCACAGCGGGACCCCACTGGGGGCAGAGAGGCAATGCTGGGCATGGGCCAGCACCCCTCCAGACATGCACCGAGTGCCCCCTGCTCCTGCAGAGTCACCAGCACCTCCACCCCGTCTCCAGGGCCCTTCCCTCTCGCCCACTGCAGAGACTGCCTGGCCCAGTCCCTGGGAGCCAGGGTTAGCTTGGGCAACAGTGGGAAGGAAAAGGCCCAGCACCAGGCCCTTGGCCCCTCCCTCCATACACCAGTCAGAGCGGAGCCAGCCCGGGGCACCCACCCGGCTGCACCCCAGGGGCGGCCCCGCTGCCTGAGGAAGTGGCACTCACCTGCGGGTGCAGTTGCAGTGGAACAGGGTGCGGGAGTCCAGGTTGCGCAGCTGGTACTTGACCTCATGGGGTGCAATCTTGTGCTCACACTGGTCAAGGTGCCGGTAGCATCCGCAGCTCCTTGCTGGGGCTGGGGGGAGGGAGTTGGGCTGGGATCAACTGAGGCACATCATTCAGGCCCCCCCCCCAGCGGGTCAGGGGCCCAGAAACCCTGCACAGGTCCTCGGTCTGCACAATGCTGAGCCAAGCGCCACGGGCACCCAAGCTCTGTGCACACACACCATGGGCACGGGCACTCTCTGGGAGTTCCCCCGCAGAACATGCCACCCCAGAGACCCCACAGCAACCCCCCAGCCCCTGTGCCCAGAGCACTTACTCACCCCGGCGGCTCAGCTCGGGCGGGTGCGGCGTGGGAGTGCGGCGTGGCTCCGAGGCTGGGGTGGGCGGTGAGTTAGTCCTTTGGGCAGGGCGCGCTGAGTCCCTGTCCTGGGGCTGCCCTACCCCCTCCATTCCAGCCCCACCAGGGGGTGGGCGCTCAGTCCCCGGTGTGGGGCCCTGCTCGGAGGCCCTCGTAAGGGGTGGTGGCTCCTGCCCCCCCAGGTCTGGGACATGCCTGTGTGGGGTGGTGGCTCCATCCTCAGCAGGGGCAGGGGGCAGTGTGCCCAGGCCCCTGGGCAGGGGGGGCGTGACAGGTCTTTGATCTTCTCTGGGGCTCTGGGACCCCTGGGCCCCAGCGTCCTGCCCAGGCGTCTTCCTGTTCTTCCTCTGGTGCTTCCTGCCCCGCCTGGCGTGCTTCTTGCCCTTGCCCGGGGGGCGCGTGGCAGGGCTGGCCGTCTCCCCCGGGGGCAGGCCGTAGTGGTACTGGCTTTGCTGCACCATCCGGGCCAGGGCTACGGGGCCGTAGTGCTTACACCTGGGGAGCAGAGGGGGAGTGAGACAAGGCCCTCCCCCAAACTCCCACCCCCTCCAGAGCTGGGCTCTGCTCCCAGGGGTTTCCCTGAGCACCCACACGCCTGCCCCCTGCCAGCTGGCACTGAGAGGGCTGTGCTGCTGGAGCTCCTGACAGCCATGTCCCAGCTGGCACCGTGCCCTCAGCATGTGGGAGTGCCAGGGTGGGGCCGACTGGCTGCGTCCCGCCTGCCGAGTCATGCCACCTGCAGCAGCCAGTCAGGGAGCAAGACACCCACACGCCCCACTGGTGCCCAGCTGCTTCGCCACAGCACCCCCTCCCCCACACAGGGCCAGCCAGGGAACCCACAGCCTTCCCAGAGCCTGCACTGGCCGAGCGAGGGAGTCCCAGCGGGAGAGGCAGCCCAGGGCCGGAGAAGGGAGCAGGGCCAGGCTCTCGGCCAGGCATGCTGGCCCGATAGCCATCAGGCTCTGCCCTGATCGCCCACACACTGGACGGCAGCAGAGCCTAGCG